CGCCCTTCTTTCGTCTCTCTATATTTTTTTCAAAGCCCCCCCTTTCATGTTTTAAAAAATTACCCCCCCCCCCTCCAGTTTCTTCTCAATCCCCCTGTACAATAAATAATGAGCGGTCCCTAATTGATATAATTTTACTCTAAAACTTACGTACTATTACTTCATTACAGTTTTACCAAAATTCATACATGGGCTCTACAATGCACTGAAAAAAAATGCGTCGACACTTTACTAACGAATTGAGTCACTGTGCATGGGTGTATTTACTTGACTTAAAATTTAATCACTGAGAAAGTTGACAATTCTTGATTTACTGAATTATAGTTAAGTCAGTGTGTGGCTATATTCACTTTACTCATAGTAATGAATCGGCAGAGCAATTACGCCATACAAGAAAACTGGGGGTTGAAAGAGATATACAACTAACAGAAATTCTGCTTGTATTTTCAGGTGGTTGACTTGTATCTCTCTCAATCCGCATGCACCTTTCAGTCCTTTCTTGTTATCACTACCTGACACAGACTGTTCGGCGTTCGATATTATACTACGTCATAGGCTCAAACTCGGTTCCTTGTTAGGAGTTGAGTTAAGCCAGCCGCACACGAGAGAAACTTGCTGAGCTAACCACCTCGTATGGCAGCTAGCTCAGCAAGCTTCTCTCGTGTGCAGATAGTTTTCGTAAGGATTTGACCTCACGATGCCCTGAGGAAAATATTTGTTGTGTTTGATATTTTTCACATCGCGAGGAAAATTAATTTCCACATCACAAAGTAATTAAATTTGACAGACTTAATTTTTGCTGTCACAGCAATGGATCTTTTGATAAGATAATTGAGTTTCAAAACTCAATTGAAGATTGGAAAATTGGTTAAAAAGTTACAAAAAAGCTGTACTTCTTCGTTTTTGACTAAATATCCGTTAATTCGTAATTTGGTGTGTAAATTAACTAAGTATAAGATCTGATTGCTATTGACTCCACGGTACGCATGTTTATTATAGGATTACTTTGTCTTAATAGACCATCTCTATTAACTTGGTATGCAAATTGCTTATTGAGAGATGGCTTCTTTTCATTTAAATTATATTCATGTCAGTAAGAAACAGTGCAGACACTGATTAGCATAACAATAGGCCACTGTATAAGCAAGAAAACACTAAAACAAAGCCAAATTCGGTAACTGGCTGTTGTATTAATTTTCTCTCGATTTGACTTGAATCCCCGAGTAAAATGTCAGAAAAGATCAGGGCAGGACACTTGGAAGTAACGGTAGAGAAGACAGAGAATAAAACTGTGGTGAGGGTGTGTGGTGACGAAAAGTTGACTGCTTTGATCCGCCAGAAACTTCAGGAACGTTTTGGTAGCGGTATTGTCAGTGTAGCTATTGGAAGCTTTACCCTTGGACCACTTGCAACAGAGACCAATGTAACATCAGAAAAACCTCACAATGGAGCACCGCTGAAGATGGCAGTCATACGCATTCTCGAAAACGAAGCTTTCAAAGTCGTAGGCATGGCGTTTAATGAAGGGTGTGAAAAGCTGATGATGTATAAAGAAGCTGATATAGCAGCGAAGTTAGATGAAAGACGTGGAAAAAATGATACGTACAAGTAGAAGACAAAACAGCCAAAATATTTGTTCTTATTTCGCATATTCATATAAATATGGGTAAACGAAAGATAATTGGTTGAACACGTATAGTAGAAACTAGAATAGATTAACGTTTTGCAAATTGCAATGACAATGTAGCTTTAATTAATAAAGAACATGAAAGTATAACTTCTTTCGACAATCTTTTTTTTTCTTTTTTTAAATTTTAGCTTTGAAAACATGCAGTAAATAGTCGTTAAATGTTTGTGTTACTACAGTATTAAGATAGTTTGGTTGAATCGATTTAATTTTCAGTTTCTGATCGGAAGTAGCTAGTTCCAGGAAATCGTCACTAATTCCTAGTAGTGATAAAAATTGCCAGTAATCCAAAGTACTTTCATTTTGCATTATTTCGATAGATGATATTCTATATGCTTTACTAGAACTACGCCGGTCATAGAAAATGCCTGATTTAAAGAAAAATATTTGTTATTAATATTAATAAAAAAATTACCCCTTGGCCTCTTTCGCAGACATCTCATTAGGGGTTACTATATCAGACAGAAATATATGAATGTTTGTTTGAGAGCAGCTGAAATGCTCATGCAAGTAAATATTACTAAAAGCCTATTGAGAAGAGATAATGGATATTTGGGCACATGTCAAAATAAAGTAAATATTGATTATTTCCTTCCATTAGACTGTGACAGTTTGTTGAACTAGCTGCCATTGTGCATGTGAAGATGTCATGTTTAATTGACCTGATTCCTACAGTTTATCTTGTGGGCAGATCTGTTTAAACAGAGCAGCTGCCATGAGGTCTCATGAACATTGACCTTTCACGTGGACAGACTCAGGCGTAATCATGAGTCATCCCAAGCTCCCTTTGCCGCCTTACGCTCGTGTTTCAAGATCCGCCATGTAAAGTGTAGTGAAATGTATCTCATCGTAATATTAAATCCTAAGAAAACTAAAGCCTCTGCGGAGGAGAGAGTCCCAAGCTAGATAACACTCGGTCATGCAATTAAAGTATTACGTCATTAGAATCTTAGTTCGATAAAATTACGAGTGAATTTAGTCTTGTAGGTAAAGTTATGTTCACATAGGTATAGTTCGAAGTTTTTACTATAAGACCTGCATAAGTATTTAAAGTTGTGAACTTGTTTTGGCATTGATCGATTTAACAGCGAACGTGTGCTCTTCCGATGACAACGCCTTAAATAAACAGAATATGAGAGCTGGAACGAGCTAACAACGCCAACCTACACTTTTAAACCTCAACGTTGATTGGCTGGATATAGATCACATCACTTATTAGATCACGTGTACAAAGATTCCCTCAACCGTTAGTATAAGAGGACGTGCACAATCGAAAGTCGTCAGTGGACGTATGCTGAATAAAGCTTAAATGATGAAAAGCTACTGAAGCTCAAAACAAAACAACGACAAAGAAAACGAACTACTAAAAACAACGAAGATTTAAAGGTGAAGCGAACTTAGAAAACTACTCCACGAAGACGAATATTAAGAACTGATAGTCATTAGAGATTGATTGTAACGATTCACTACCTAAATAAAGCCTCGTAACACTAGAACTACGCCGGTCATAGAAAATGCCTGATTTAAAGAAAAATATTTGTTATTAATATTAATAAAAAAATTACCTCTTGGTCTCTTTCGCAGACATCTCATCAGGGGTTACTATATCAGACAGAAATATATGAATAATCATGTTTGTCAATGCTCACAAAAGTGTAGTTTGTCTTGCGTATTAAAAACAGAATTTAAATATTGGTACCCCGAGACTAGAACCAAACAAGTAAGAAAAATTGTTCAAGTAGGCGGATGGCGATAAAATTGGTATTTCCAGATGAAATAAACTGTTGTTGCCAAGCTGATATCAGGATGTTCGCACTGCGTGTTCCCGGTTGTGACAACTTACAAGGTTGATGCATGCATGCATGCATGACGGTAACAGTCTTGTATAAATATCAAGATTTTGTTGGCATCTCACTTGATTCAATACTTGAAGGCAGGGACGTGCTGGCTAGGGACGAGCCAGCCAGAACTCGTTGTGGGCCCTTGCTATCATGGGCTTCTAAAATAGAAATATCCAAATTTGTTCAAACATTGAGATTTTAATTTTCAGAATCAAGATTAAGATATTACAGTTTCTCACCATCATTCGTTGTCTTTTTAAGACCCCAGCACGTCCCTGGTTGAAGGGTGTTGTTGATGGAAATTATCGACAATTTCCACTCGACAAATTCCATCAACAACACCCTTCAACACTCTTGTATAGACTACGAACTTGTGGTCATCAACTTGTCAACAGCTTGTTACACACAGATCATATCAGACGTGTTGGAACAACTTCGCTTGCGAGTCTGTTGGCCTTATCAACCTTGTTACAAGATGAT